AATATTTTTAACTTGTAAGTTATTGTTTTGATGTTTTTTTTTCTTAATCTATATTGAAATAAAGATAAATGTATTTGCTTAATAAGTACATTAAATATTAACGGATGAGCCAGAATCAATAAACCTCTAGATGTTTTTCAAATATCTCTCTCTCTCTCGAATTATGACCTATATATTTGAATCTTTTCTCAAAAACAAGACAGTCTGTGCAATTCTCTAAAAATCTTACGAGAAAAGATCTTCCAACAAATAGTTATGGAATTATACCTACATTTCAATGCAAATTTCTTGTATTTTTTGGGTGTACTCTATCTAATAGAATATAAAAGAAGATATTCGAATATGATTTTGCGAGTCTAGTGGCCAATTTTCTTGAAAATCAATCTCGTTATAAACACCTCCAGCATTACAGAAAAAGCATTTCACAACATTCTACCCGTATCGAAATGATACAAAAAAAAAACATTTTTCTTCGACTAAGTAATAAATTTGAAGATGATATAATTTTTCATTCAAGATAACAATATTAAAGTTATGATGAACCTCAATGGAAGATTCTTCGAACGCTCATAGAAAAGTTCTTGTTTAAATAAATTAACAGTATGTTAGAAAAAGTATTCTCTAAACAAATAGAGCTTTTTATGGGCTCTTTGTATTTAATCAATAGAGTGATAGAAAATCGTTGATATAAAAAACGAGTGTTTTGAAAGTAATTCATTTCGCAGCATTATAGTGTCCAACGAATATATCTCCATAACTATTCATTGGAAGACAATTTCACAAGCTATCTTTTGAGAAAAGATGCAATTGTATAGGTCTCAATTTGAGAAATGCATTTCCAAAATTCAAATAATAGTTCTAGATTATTCCATAGAAATAAGCAAAATTTCGATCTCAAGAATTCATATGTTAAAAATAAAGAAGCTCTGATGATGCAATTCATCTATTTTGATGAAATCATGTATTTCGTTCTCTTTCTATTATAAAAATCTCAGTATGATCTTTTAAAAACAAAATGAAACATTAAATTCATTCTTTCAAAAAAAAAAGCACAACATCAATATATATATTTCAATGTATTTTCATTTTTTTTCCATATATCATTCACAAAAAAAAAACTTTATTTCTAAACTGGCGATCTATTCATTTTAATGATAATAATATAAATACATAAAAGAAAAAAATCACCGTTAAAATTAACAATAAAAATCACATATATAATTATGAATATTTCTTATTCATTTTTATATTGAATTCTCCAAATACCTAATAGATATCGAATCCAAATTGCTAATATATCAATACCCATTTGAAATGAAGCTGTAAATGGATCAAGTTTGGAACCTGGAATTTCTTGCCAATTAACATCAGCTTCAAATATTGGAATTTTGAATTGTTCTGCAATATATAAAAGTTCAACATCAAATGCCCTTGAAATAATTATAATATTTAAATAATTAAATTCATAATTTTCTTTTTCTTACCATCGTTCAACATGCATTTGTAAAAAAATTTTTCTTGCACTTTCACGTGAAAATAATTTAAAACCACATTGTGTATCACGAATTGATTTAACTGCAAATAACCATACTTCAAAATGAAATACATACATAAGTAATGTACGAAATGCTGATCTCTAAACAAAAACAAAACAAAAAACATATCATCCAAAAACCATGACAACGAGATTTACTTGTGCAACAGATTCTTTTTCTAAATGACGTCTTGATCCACAAATGACAACATCATTATTCTAAATAATGAAAATTCTTCAATTAAAAAAGAAATTGTTTTCTTTTTTTACTTTCATTCCATCCAAAGCTTTCTTTTCAAGTTTCGTAAAATCACTAAATGTTGTTGCACCATCTGCATCCGCAAATAAAATCCATTGACCTCGAGCACTTAATACGCCCTAATCAACAAAAGAAAAAAAAAACAAATTTCGACTGTTAATATTAATTCCATTAACACTCTACCTCACCATTCGTACAGCACCACCTTTGCCTCTATTAGCATCTAAAGTTAATACTCGAACAATATCTATTCCATATTGAGCAGTATATTTGAGTGCAATCTTAAGAAATTTACAATTAAAATAAAATTTTATTGAATTCCAATTGATCATAATTACTTCAGTAGTTTTATCAGGACTTCCATCATCAACAATAATTAATTCATATGTAAACGATTGGTCGTTTGCCTTAAAATATATATAATATAGTCAATAGTTTTTTTCGAGTTCAACTACACAGTTTGTCCATGGATAATGAGTGAAGAATAGAAAGTTATGATAAACGTACTCATTACAAAAGGATCCCTTACAACAGACACTATTCGAAAGTTTCTCGCTCAGTATGAAATGTTTTAATTTGAATTTGTAGTTAACACAACAGACTTTACAATGATTAGATTATTTGCTTTGGAAATTTCTTCCTAGAAAGACTTATTACTACATGATTACAGTAGCGTACTCATCGTTCTTCTTTTTTTACACTCTGTAAAAAAAAGATATTTTTCCAGCTTTGACAAGAATACCAGGTGACCCACTGATATCAAACTTCAACGATACTACTACTGTTATTTCTATTTATTTAAGTGATGCAGTAGTGTTCGAAATATGATAAAAGACCATAGAACTCTATTTTTACTATTTTTTGCACCAAAAATGCTCCATTGTGACTCACAACTACCATTTATAAACGTCGTTATTCAAGTTGATTGACATCTTTTGGCAGGAACTGTCCAAAAGCCTATAAAAAGTTTTGAATAAGTTCGGCTGGTTCTTGTTTGAGAGATCCTCCGCTCAACTTTGACCAAGTGTTATCCGTTTTAGCTGTACACCTACCTGACGTTGTTCTAAATAATTCATTGTATCTTTTATCATAGCTGGTACTAAATATAAAAGGAAGAAGTATATAGAAAGAAAAAGCGAACTTTTATTAACTTTACATCGATCAACTTCTTTATAAGCAGGAATAATAACAGAAAGATATTTCGAAGGTGAATCATTGATGGATGGAAATGGTTTTCGAGATTTTCTTATTGGATCTTGAAAATATTTTTCATTTTCACTTCTAGGTGCCATATTAAATGAACGTAATAGACAAATAACCTTGCAAAAGAAAACAGTTTTCTTTTTTTATTTAAATTAAATTTCATTAATTAACTTACACTAAGAAGAATAAGTCCAAGAATTATAAGAATAAAAACAGCTAAAATCAATTGTTCAATCATCTGAAAAACAAAACAAAATGATGTTATATTCTTTTTATTTATTTATTTTTTGTTTGTTTGTTTAATCAAATAGATTTTGATCAGGATCTGCTTGAACAAACACATTTTCAAATCGATACAGATCATTATTATCATCCCAACAATTAGCTGAACACGTGTAAACAAAAACAGTACCAAATTCAAGACCTATAAATCAATATATTAAGACGATTGTTTCAGAAAAAAACAAATTTTCACACCTATTTGATTATCTATTTTGAGAAAATTAACAAGCGCTGGCATCAATTGAAATTCAAAAACACATGATGATTGACAATAACGACATTTTTGAGTAGTTGATAAAGTATTTGTATCGACTTTTGTCAATATCAACGGATTACCAGACCAATCATATCTTTCAAATAAATATGTAGTTTTATAAATATCTTATGTTTATTAAAAAAAAAAAAAAACAACGATCCAATTAAATCTGAAGAATTTCTCTGAGTAATGTTCTCTTCAAGTTGGGTTCATGTCAAAATACTCCTCCATGAATATCTATTCCAGATTCGATTTAGTCAATTGTTGAATGAGGAAAAAAAGAAAATTTGTTTTCTCAGATCGAATGAATACAAAAGCAAGCATTGATAGACGATCATACTTTCCTGTTTAAGTGTATTTATTGGATTCATTTAAAACCATCGGATTTATTAATTGATAGCGTATAATACATTTTATGTGTACGAAAAGAGAACCATCGTTCTAAAGAGTTAATCTTCACCTTTAGCTTGTCGTCCACTCTCATTATCATCAAGATAACTGTCTTCTACCTAATTCTTCTATATTTACGAGGATTGCTATCATTGTTCTGAACTTTTTATCAGTTTTACTTAGCAATGCGAGACTTGCAATAGAAACTTTTTCATGTACCGAATCCAGTGTATTCGGTTAAGAGATGAGATTAATTTGGTTTCAAAAAACTGCGAACTGATCCCATTTCTTGTTCTTTTCCAATAAAAGCTGCCATGGTTGCGTGACTACGCTGTGACATACATCTGTTTTTGGGGTAAGTTAATGTGTATGAGAAACCCGAGTGACTAAATTCAAAATCACTGTGTCAGGCCAACCTTCTGTCCAGAACCTAAAGATTGTATTAGTTGCAAGAAAGATATCGAACTACTCAATCTGCTGCTAGGCAATATTCCACACCGCCAATGTAAATCAATCGTAGGGTTATTCTTTTTTCCATCGTTTCTGTTCAAATAAAAATTTGAGAAAAGTCGAGATGTTATTTTTCATAGAAATATTTAAAATTTCATTCGTACCGAATAATTTGATCAGGTGCATATCTAATTTTTTGTTGAAATCGATAAAAAACTACATCACCATGTTCAATATCAGGTGTTTTTTCATATTTTCTAAATAAATTAACATGATTTGTTTTTTTTCTGATATTCAAAAAAAAAACTACTCTTACTCTTTTCCACCTTTAGCTGTTTCATCATCATCTTCATCTATATCATTTAAATGTTTCATTTTATTTTTTAATTTCTTTTTTTCATTTAATTTTGCTTCATTAACAATAACTTGTTCATCATCAATAACAATATAATAAAATGGAAAAGATGCATTATTAGATATATCTAATGTTTGTTTATTTAAATTTGTTTCTTTCCATTGATTAAAAGCATCTGATGATGCAACAGATGTAGTTTTATCATTTGATTTTGTTTTAACTTCTATTTCATCATCCTCATCCTCATCTTCATCACTTGATGATTTTTCATGTTCATCTTCAATTTTGATTGAACTTAGCATTGTTTCTGGTTCTTTTTTAATTGTTGTTACCATAGAAGATGGTTTTTTATCATTTTTCTTCTTCTTATTATCATCATCATCATCATCATCATCACTATTCCATGCATTAGCATCATCACACCAATCAGTAGATGATGATGATGGAACAGTAACTAGTTGTTCAACTTCAATTGGATTTGAATCTTGAACAGTTTCATCAAATTTCTGACATCTTATTGCAGTCCAACTAAAAATTATCTATGTAAGAATACGTTTCAAGCAAAAAAATAAACACAACTAACTAACAAACCTATTCGATATATTCCAGCAAGATGGATTTCGACATGCAAATAGATAAATAGCACGATCATATTTATGACCGTCTAATGGACAATAAACTTGACAAACAAATATTTGTTCTGTTCGACATGTTGCACAGAGAAGGGAAGTCTTTAATTTTGTTGAAACTTCTTCACTGGGATATGCCTGAATTACATAGATCGTTTAGAAAGATGAAATCTTTTACAATTAATACTCACAGGTTGTCCACCTATTCTTGAAATAGTCCAATTTGATGGATCATCATCATTATCTGTCTTTCCTCCTTTAGGTTCATCAATAAAACCAAGTAAAACCATCTTAAATATAAACATAACAACTATCATATGCAATCATTATGTTGTTTTCTTTGAAAAATAATATTTCACACACACACACACACACACACGTGCACACATAGTATTGAATAGATAGAATAACGAAAGAATAGATGCATAAATACACTCAATCGAACCTTACTGTTGCTTTTCTTTTACAAATCAGTCTAGCTTTCAATCACTTACACAAATAAAGAAAGAGAAAAAAAACGAAGAAATAAATCATGGCGAACAAGCAAGGACGGAAAGAACAAAGATAATCATTTTTTATTCACTCGGTTAATTAATAATAAAAATTTCGTTCTTTTATAAATTAAGTTGCGCCAAATAGAGAACTTGTTGAACATACTCCACATACATCCTATATATATATAAATAATATTCATAAAGAATATATTAAAATAGAAAATGTTCCTACTGGATTTGTTTCAATACATTTTGCATGAAAGACATGTAAACAAAAGAAGACAGAAACTGGAGGATTGGTATGAAGATCTTAAATAATTTTAATCAAATTATATTTTATTTTAATATAAAAAATTTTACCAGGACTGTATACAGGATTATGACATTTAGCACAAAGATCAGTATCTAATTAAAGAGAAAGAAAATGTTTAATAAAAGACAAAAAAAAATGAATTACCTTTGACTAAATAACCACTTTGAAGTAATGTTACTGTCTTTTTTCGTAATGCCAAACAATCATGAACGATTATCTTTCGACAACATTCTGATAGAGACATCTAAGAGATGAATGAAAAGAAATATTATTTAAAACAAATATAAACGAATATTGAAATCTATTAAAATATTACAGATTAAGATATTTTTTAATCTCAATGACACTACAGAAATATTCATTATCTGAATGTTTTAATAATTCTGAGAAAGGGAAAAAGACGTGTCTCGAAACTACCCAACCAATTTTACGCAATGTTGAATATCTGGATAATTGTCAAAGCGTTCCTTGAGGTATATTGGGCGATCACGAAAGTATCCTACGGTTCAGTTAAGTTCGGGTTTCGAGTACTTCTGAATACTGTTGATCGGTTTTTATGATATCTGTTTACATTCAATTTTCGGATTATTTATTCTACTGTGTCCTGGTTTATGATAGCTAAGTTTGAATTTTTTTCTTTATTAATTAACTAAATATAACCGTAGTCTAGATCGAACCTGAACGTTCGGATTCCTTTCATGCCTATAAATAATATTTTTGTCATATTTACTATATGCGTTGCTCTGTGAAGTATTGTTACTCGTAATTTTAAGTATCTCTAACAGAAAAAACTACACCAAATAATTTTATTAGATACCTTGTCGTCATGTACAATGGAAATGTTTTTTTTTTCATCATGGCCGAGTGCAATACAAAGTGACTCATTTGTATTTACCTTACTCCATGGAATTTTTCTTTAATCTAATCCATTCTTATAGGAAACAGAAATTTTGTTGTACTGATTTTCGACAGACTTTATCTATGTTAAACACAGTCCAGTCGTGATAGATATGTCCACACAACATTAGGTGAAGATGAGGACTGTATGTAATGTGAATCGACACCTTTTCAACAATTGCTGAAAGCCTCCGACAAAATTCATCTTATCCATATCCTAAGATACAGATTAGATGGAGCAAGATTGGAGTATGCGTAAAAACTTTGGATATCCAAAGCTACCTTGATTTTTAATTATACAAGATGATTTACAAATAAATATCAAGGTAGACATGGTTATTAAAATCCACAAAAATAACGCTGCTGAGAATGAATGTCCGTATGATATTCGTTACGAACTTTACCTTTTCTTTTTTGCAGCTATGACGGTGTCTGCAGTTTTTACAAATCTGCAAGCGAAAGAGTTATTGGTAAAAGCTTTTCGCGTATATAACGAAATGAATTCAATTGATCATTCCAATCACATTAACGAGTGTATTCTTTGGAAAATTTTCTTTCTTTATATGCTATTAGTATTACAATAGTAAGAGACGAGAGAACTTTTTCATATTTCGGATTTCATTTCTGAACGAAAAACTATCGCTCATCATTTTCTATTAATTCAATCAAAATTACCTGAATATTATAATCTTGCATTATTTTACATAATGAATCACGTAAACCAGGTATTCGTAAATCACTTCTGATTGTATTAATTAATTGTTGTAAATTAATATCACTACCAGCATGATTTAATAAACCTCTAATGAAATCTATAATCAACAAGAACAAAAAAAAAACATATATCTTTATTTAATTGATTTCAAAATATTGATTTTTACGAAAATTTCACCTGGTTTATCAACAGATTGTTCAATTAATTTTGTCCATAATGCTTGACCACCTGTTTCACGACAAAATTTAATAGCTTCTTCAATATCATTTAATTTTTCGAGAATTATTTGTAATGCAACACGTCCATTACCCGCTCGTCCTATAATTTCGTTTTTTTTTTCTTGATTAAGAAACTATACAAAAAGTAAAATTTCTTACCATAAAGAAAAACAGTTTCACGATATAGTTGTTTTTTATCACAAATAGCTAATGCTTCTTGTAAATTATAATTTCCAGCTTTACGTAAAAATCCCATTAATTTATCAGGTTCATAATCAGCATAAAGTGATACTTGCTGTGTATGAAAATCACGAGAATCATTAGGATTCTTTGAAAATACAGCGTCAAGATACTATGAAAAACAAATTAAAGTAAGGAAAGATTATTTTTTATTGTAAAGCAAAATAAATTATACGAACAGCATGAAGATATCGAGGATTTTTTTGTAGTACATTATAAACCGATCGAACCTATTGGTTCATAAAAAATAAAAAATTATCAATTTATAATTTTTGTATATACTTACAGGTAATTTATCCATATTATTAATGAACATATCAAGTGCCACCTAAGAAAATAAAATTTCGATGAAATTGAATAAAAGTATTTCAAATAAAACTACTCTATGTCGCTTATTTACGAGAGAAGTCTTCCAACTTATAAATCACTTTTGAATCAAGATAATGCGCATTCTGTAGACTCAATTGAGCTATGAAGAACCGAAAAGAATTCGTGCACTTAGTTTATTGATGCAGAGACACTGTACTTTTATGGTATTATTTAAATAATTTCAAGTCTTTTTATTTGCTTCTATCGTGCAACGATGTAAAAGACATGTTTTTACCATTCTATGCAAAGTTTCAAGTCAAAATTCGAAAAATCAGTTTTCTAGTGTTCTTGCATTCATTTAAATAATGTTATAAAGGTGCAGTATCTCCTCAGCAATAAGCTAAGGGTACGAAATCTTTTCAGAATGCTGATAGTTTATTTGGGTCTACATAATGCACATAGTATCAACTCAAAAACGATGTATTAGTTTATTATTTCTTTTTGCAGCACTGAAACCTAATGATTATTTGAGAAATATTAGACATTGCGAAGTTGAAAATCTATTATATAATTTTCTATATTGATGAATATGAAGTGAATATACGCGTATAAATGACCGTATGTGTTTGATCTTGACTTTAAAACTCTCTGAGTCGCAGTTAGAAAAAAAACACTGATGTCTTCAGTTTTGTTGTCAACAAAAGTTTTTGTTTATTTCAAATGTAATCTTGAGTTTTCTTGAAAATATCAATGAAGTTTCTCTTCTTTTAATTTTCTTTCTTGAAATCTGTTAGTTAGTACTCAAGAGTAATGGCAATAATACTTTAACTTATTATTGAAACCTCGAGAAAATTTTCTTCTTATAAATATGAATGAGAGTTCAAACAGTGCTCTATAAATCTTTAATACTATATCATTCTTCAATTAGTATGATAATATTATTAGAATTTCGATCAAAGTTGTTCATCACTGATTTAGATGAGTAATAAAAACTCTCACTCCTACATTAAAGTTCGTACGGCTCTGCGAAGTAAAACCTAATTGCCGAAAACAAATTATAGTACAATACAGATTTTAATGTAGAAGCAAAAGTTTTCTTCATTTATCTAGATAATTGATCAGATATTACAGAATAACAGACGAGTTTTTGGACTTTCATGATAGAGTCTTCTCAACTTGGAAATCTTTTCACTAGTTTTTTTGCAAGATTTAAAATTATTCAACGAACGTTCTTGTCAATTGACATAAGTGTTTCAATATGTGGAAGGATTTCTTCATAAAGGTTTTTTCGTGTAATCAATTGAAATATTTGAATATTGCCCATTCTAAAAACAAAACACAATCAATCATTCATACATACATATTCATAACTAACATACTTTAAATAAATATCTAACGTTTTTGATACATTTCCTTGTTTTTCGGCTCTAGAAAGAAAATGATCAAAGTTATTAACGAAATAAAAATAAAAGGAAGATTTTTTAAAATTTTTTACATAATTGCTGAACACTCAAGTAATGCTTTTGCAGTACGTTCATCATCCATTTGTAAACGAATTAATTGATCCATCGTAGTTAAATTATAAATATCTGATGGCCATTTTATTAATAATTCTTTTAATTTCTATATTAAAATAATATTTAATTCAATATATCAAATTTTTATTGATTTACTTCATATTTTTTTTGTGTTAAATATGTCTGAAGTACTTTTTCATAAGTAGTTGGATCAAGTTGAGGTGTACTTATTGGAATATTAGGTGCTATGATCTAAATAAAAAAAAATAAAAATTATCATTTGTTTTGTTTCTCTTTATTAAATATTTTTTTTTTACATCAAGTTCATTTCGTTGAATAAATATAAGAATTTGTTCAGCCCATTCTTGTGATGTTGTATAAACAGAAGGAAATAGTTTAACAGCTTTTTCTGTTTCATTAGCATCCATTAAAGATTTTACATATGCTCGATAGACAATCTTTATAGAAGAAAAAAAATAAATTTCAACAATCTTATTTAACTTTTTATAATATTACTTGTTTTGTATATCGTTTTGATCTTTCATTATTATTCGGAGGTTTTTCAAAAGCTTGTATGGCTTCATCAAATTTTTTTTTATTAATTAAATATTCAATATGATCATCATAATCACGACGTTCAGCTTTAACAATATCAAATGGACTTAGAATAAAAAAACATTGTTCATCCGGTAAATATTCTATTCATAAATCCGGAAAGCAAAAAAAAAAAAAAGAAATGATAATTACAAGAAAAAGAAATTTACCAAGTTGAAATTGAAATGGAGATGTTCTTTCATCACAACACATACGAAATGGATCATGAGCTTTTTCTTCATATGTTTTACCTTTTGACACTAATACAGTTAAGGATGGTTCAGATGTACCATTCTAAATCGAAGAAAAATAAACAATGAGAAAAAGAAAAACAAATAAATAAATTGAAAAAAGAAACAAGATAGTTACAGAAATACTAAAATCTTCGATACCAAATAAAACCAAATCACGATTGACAGATGTTAAACCACATGCAAAAAATTCAATTTTGAATGATATAGCTAAAAAAAAATACATTGATGTATTATCTATAGGTACTAGAGTGTTCTGGTTAAAACCCTAAAACGATTTCAGTTCCTACTGAGATTTGACTAAACTAAGCTATGGAATTGTTTTAGATGTGTATTTTTTAGAAGTCGCAGGTTTTCGGAAAAGAAATGCATGTTGAATACACTATACATAGGAAAGAGTCTGTATCTTGAAAGTTTCATATATCAAAGAGACTTTGTTGTAAACTTGTGACATTTTTTTTAATAGAAACTAATTAGTTTAGTTGAATTTTCTATATGCACAAGTTTTTCAGATCAAATTTCGATAGAAATTGGAATGAGGCAGTTGAAAACGTTTTAGCATCTTACTGATTCTTCCGCAGGCAAAGGTTTAAGACAGTTGTAGTACTTTTTCGTTATGGAACAAAAGACAAAGTTTCTTTTATATTTAATAACTAGAGAACTAGAATGTCGTAATTTTTGATTTTCAAGAGTACTATAAGAAAGTATGGATCTTCTATTCAGAAATCACTGATGGCAGTGGAATTTCAAAAAAAAAAGCATTTTATTAGGTTTTAATTGATATCGTAATAATAACTAAGAAAATTGAAGATCAAGAGTCAGTCTCAACATCTTGAAATGTTGTGCATTTTGTCGAGCAGAATTTCTTCTATCGAATGATATCTTGCGTACTTTTCTACGATGTACCGTTTATGAGATGTAATGTCAAAAACAACTTTGGGTACAGTTCAAATTCGAGAAGCTGATATCTCATCAACGAGCGATTGTAGAACATTGTGCAATGCACCGTTCGACAGAAGAAATTCTGCTCTACAAAATACACTACCGGTCAATATTTTGAGACTTTCTGTTGATGTTCAATTTTCTTAGTCTTTATTATGATAATTACCATCAGTGATTTCTGAACAAAAAACTCACAATTTTAAACAATTTCGAATTCACACTTTTTTTTTAAATAATACCCACGTAAGTCGAAAACTATGGCATTCTACTTCTATATTGCTCTACTAGAAAAAAATAGAAGTTAATTATTTTTCTTCACGCTACAATCATTGAGATTAGAAATGTATGACTTTAGTAGACCTTGACTTTAACCTTACATGGTACTGAAAGTATGTCATTTTTTTTCTTTCTGTTCAAAGAAAACACGGAAGTAAAGTGTTTTAAACTTTTGCATTTCAATTTATATGATGAATTATTTATTTTAACATGAAGGTCGCAGTATTGATACTCTTTCTATTTGTTTTTTTAAAAACAAAATACTGACAAATGTCATTTGAAGTTCTTCAAAAGATTCTTATGAAATAAGTGCAATATATCATAGTCAAATAATTAAAAAGTTTTGTTCTGCTCGTCAAGATTAGAAGTGTTTATCCGAAATTAACTAGAACTTTCATTTTTTTTTCTTTGATAAAATAATCTTACTCTAAGCTGAAGCTCAAGTTCAAATCATTGATCAGAATGATTCTTTAAAACTGTATATATAAAATTCAGTTTTAATTATTTTCTAACCTGTATTCATATGTTTTTTAGGTGCAGATGATTGATGTTGTTCATAATTGCTTTCAGTTGAAATCGAAATTATTTTAATAGTTTTTGCACATGCAACAGCTAATGTTGTTGGATCATTCCATGATATTCGACTTGGATAAACACCACGTGGAAGTCTAAATAAAACAAATAATTGAATATTTATTTTATTTTTTCTTTATAATATAAAGCAAGATGTCATACTCTTTTTGTCCATCAGTTTCTTCAAATCCAACTAATCGTCGTGCACGTAAATCATAAATACCAACACCCTTTTATTTTGAAAAAAATTAAATAAAAAAAATTTTTTTTTCTGTTTTTGTTTTGTTTTCTAAAACGATAGATAAATACTTTATCATTAGCAAATGCAATTAATGATTCTTTCCAACGAAGTGTATGAATAAGTCCACCATTTAATTCAGATAATGTTGTTGTTTTATGTCGACCAAAAGTACCTCGTTCATTTAAGATAAGCTATTTAAAAAGAAAAATTTTTCGTGAAATTTTTAATTAATATATTGACTAACTTACAGATGTATCACCAGTAACAAACATTTTTGTTTTAGAAAAATTTGGATCAAGACAAACAGCTCGAATTGGACGAGTAAATGTGATTAATTGATCATCATTTTTACTGAATAAACCAGAAATTTTAACCTGAATTAGAATCAAGATTTTTTGATTAATAAAAGAATTCCATCAGTAAATTTTTACTTTTCCTTCTTGACAACAACTACCAATAAAATCTCCATTGTCATCAATTGATATTGCATTTACTGGATAGGTGTGCTAAAAGAAAAATAAACTGATATGATATATTCTATTAAAAGTGTATAGAATTCGATAGTTTTTGATTTGTTATATTCAATTGAAGGTTTGTTGCAAGAAAGAAAAACAGTTCCTTTTTTTCTCATAAAAATGATGTTTTTCTAGAATAATATTTTCACTTCAGTGTAATATATTGATTACCGCTCTAATTTGATATTGTGGTATAATATGTCCCATATGATCCGTAATTAAAATTTCACCTGTAGGTTTTCCAATAGCAAGAAATTTTTCATTTACAGCAATACAACTAAACTCAGCCGGTACATTTTTATCGTTATCATTAGTTTTTCGAAGTCCGGATGCGATTGTTATTGTAGAAAATTTAAATACTGGTTCATCCTCATCTTCTTCTTCTTCTTCTTCATCATCTTCTTCAATTGCTACATTATTATTCGTATCAGGAGACATTATATATCTATATTTAACCAAATAAAAAATAAAATATATTTTTCAATTCTAATTATTATTCACTACGTCAGATGAATGGTTTCTTATTTGTTATTTAGATCTAACCAATAATAATAAATAGAAAGCCACATCTATCGGTCGGATTTGTTTATCCAATCGTTTTCAATGAGAATAAATTGATTATTATTTACATTTTTTTATCAATAATGATTTTAACCACGAAGAGCAATACTAAGACATTCTAATAATATTTTCAACGATGGAGGAAATAACACAAGAAATTCATATTGATGATATGACTTGTGAAAATTGTGTAAGAACTATTGAAAATTCAATAAGTAAATTAAATGGAATTCGATCAATTAAAGTATAAAAATAGTAGAAAAAAGGAAATTTTATCTATCAGTTAATATGAAAATTTCATCTTTTTTTTTAGGTTTTACTTGAAGATAAATTAGGAACTGTTGTTTATAATTCAAATATGATTAATATAAATGATATTCTTAAACATATTAATGAATTGGGTTTTGATACTGAACTTAAACAACCAATAAAAAATGATAATCTTGATGTTGAACTTGGAGGAATATCCGATGAAAATATTCCTATTGCTATTGAACGTATATCATCAATAAAAGGAGTTTTAAATGTTAATTTTCCTTTGAAAAATGATAGTATTCATGTACAAATATCTTATGATAAAAATCAAATAGATCCTTATACACTTTATCAAAAAATACAATCAATTGGTTATAAAGTAAATCCAAAGTTAGAAAATATTTCTCAAGCACATTTACGTATACAAGGGATGCATTGTAATTCATGTGTTATGAATATAACACAAACTATTGAAGATTTACCCGGTGTACATCATATTAAAGTATCATTTGATGATCAATCAGCTTATGTTTTATATGATTCAAGTGTAATTACATTATCAATTATTATCAAAGAAATCGAAAAATTAGATTTTCAAGTTGCAGTTTCAACGGCAGATGATAGAGACAAATCAAAAGGTATTTCGATTGAAATATTAACAAAAAAAAAAGAAAAGAAAGAAAGATTTTATGCTTAGATCATACCAATAATCTGGATACAGCATTATTATCAGGTTAGATATGAAAATGTTCTATAAGTAGAATAGTATTTCATTTATGTATAGATTATCAGTGTCTAGACGCAAATGTCATATCTATTTGACATAAGTATTTCAACTAATCTCGAATTAGCTTTTGATGATACTAGAATTGTCGAGCAAATAAATTTAAATATTTTAGTATTCAATGTCAATGGAATTATAGAAGCATATTGTATAATCATTGTATAAAATATTATATTATGCATTTGCAGCAATAGAAAATTGGTTTTTTGTTTTCGCTCAAATATTGAATTTTGCCTAAATATATCATTTAATCCCAGTTTTATGATCGATGAACACATGAATCATTTTTTTCATGCATTATAAATGATTTCTTGCTGTTCATATAATCGTTTTTCTTTTATAAAACAATAATATGATAATTTATTACAATTATCATAGTCAAATAGAAATTTCCGTAAACAACTAAACAATATAAACAATTAACATGAATTATAAGAAGAAGAAGAAAAAAAACGAAGGACTAATGCATATTGACTCAAGAAAACGAATTGACTTAACTGATAAACTCATGTCGTTATATCTTATGAAGATAAATATTAATGTTTGCTTAACAATGACATCAACATTTCTTTCTGTGAAACATGATCTAAAAGGAGTATTGTACTATAAAGGACGTTCCTTCTTCATCACAGACATGACTAATATACGATCACCGAATATTTATCAATAACATATGGTTACAATATATATGAAATACTTGTTTATTTCATTTCTGGAGGATTAAGTCAAAAGGATGATGAAAAAATATGTCTCATAATAGATTGAATGACTACATCCGGATTGCCGGAAGGTTTTTGGTCAATTAAGGAAAAATATCCGCTAAGCGGAATCGAAGAGAAAGTATGAAGCTATTCACTCTTAAATCGAGCTGTCTATACCTATCCTCTTATTATATCTATTGTCGCATGTTTTCATAATGCCAGGATATAATTTTCTTCTCATCGGTTCTACTTTGCGAACTTTTTTTTTCCTCTAATCAAGGAAAAATGTCCTCAATCAAGTAGATATGGATTGTATAAAATAATCTTCCTGTGATTAGCAAACAGCTATTTTTTTTTTTTAAATTCGTCAACATGAATCTTTACGACAAATATTTGAAAGTTAATGCAATATCGTTGATAAAAATTCGTTCATTGTTTTTTAAGGTAAAAAAACTCATCAATTAAGCTCACAAATGAAAGCACAATCAACGAATATAAATGATGATACAGAAACTTGTTTTGTAAGTATAACTGGCATGACATGTGCTAGTTGTGTTGATTCAATTCAACGAAATCTTTCTAAAGTTGAAGGTAATACAAACAAATAAAACTTTACTTTTTTTCTTGGTTTTTGAAATTATTTATTCATAGGTATTCATTCGGTATCTGTAGCACTTTTATCACATAAAGCCGAAATAAAATTTAATCCTGAATATATTATTCCATCACAAATTGCTTATTTAATAAATGAACTTGGATTTCGTGCTGAAATACTTGATACAATGGACAATGATGTAGATTTTATTGATTTGCATGTATAAAAATGAATTCTAAAACAAAACTTCAGATTTAATAATATATTTTTTTGTCAGATTGAAAATATGACATGTTCATCTTGTGAAAGCAAAATTGAAACTTTAATAGGAAATTTACCTGGTATTAATAGTGCTGAAGTATCATCAGTTACTCATCGTGGAAGATTTAGATATGATTCTTCAAAAATAGGTCCAAGAGATATTATTCGTAAACTTGACGTAAGAAAAATTATTTGGATGTGATCATTCAAAGAAAAAGTTTTTTTTTTTTTTTTCTTCGTTTTAGTCCATAGGTTTTCCTGCTGTATTAGTTAATGAAGATTCTAAAGCAACCAATTTAACAAAAATTCATCGTCGAGAAACTCGAAGGTAATTTATTTGATTGTGCACCTCATCATTGAAAACTGAAATTGTCAAATATTTTTTTTCAATGATCTATATCAGCGATTTTCATTTGGACAATGACTTCTTTTTTGTTCGCTTTTAAAATACATTTCGTCTCGAGTAGGCAAAATCTGCAAGTATACTAAAAACATTCAACAATGTTTAGAAATACTCGAACTAGTAGAAATCTTAAAGTGCTTCCATGTAGTTTCCTGCAACTGGGTCGTGAATTCGGTGATGCGTAGTCTAAAGAGATACTATAAGTATTATCTTAGAATATAACCGATAGTTTTTTTTTTATGAAGATCGGTGAAAATAACATCTTTGAAATGATTGATTGTCGAATTTCAGCAAAATACATAGTGATCATTTTTTTCTGTTTTAATCATAGATGGCGTAATTCATTTTTACTTGCTGCAATTTTTGGTATTCCAGCAATGATAATCATGATGATATTTATGCTAAAATGGAAAGATCATCAAGAAGCACCACAAGTTATACGTGGTTTATCTTTAGAAAATCTTATTATGTTTCTTTTATCAACACCAGTACAAGTAAATATTTTCTTTCTTATTTCATTATTTTAACTTTTTCTTTATTAATAGGTGATTAGTGGTCGTTATTTTTATATACAAGCATTCAAAGCATTAAAACATGGTTCAGCTAATATGGATGTTTTAATTGTTATGGCAACAACAACAGCATATGCTTATTCATGTTTTGTTGTTTTATTTAATATTATAAAAGGTCTTCCAAGTCCAGTTACATTTTTTGATGTACCACCAATGCTTATGATGTTTGTTGCATTGGGTAGATGGCTTGAACATATAGCTAAGGTTTGTTAGAAAGAAAACAAAAATTTATTAAAATAATCGAATTAGCTTTCTTTTACGGTAAAAATTTTTATTTATAAGGAAAATGTTAAATAGATACTGTGTAAAATTACAGTAGTAGTACTCTTGACAGAATGTATCTCAGCTGTTCTCAAGACTACACATCTAAAATTTTTAGCTTATGTATTACCTTAGAAATGTAGGCAAACGGAACTAAGCTAACATCGATTGCTTGAGTTGAAGAGAATATTTCTGATCCAAAGTGTTAAAAAAAAAAATAAGATTACGGAAGCTTTTGAACTTTTGTAATTTAAATTCAATTAATAATTTTTGTTTAGGGTAAAACATCAGATGCTCTAACAAAATTATTATCATTACAACCTCCACAAGGAATATTAGTTCGTCTAGATGAAGACACTGGTTCAATTATAGAAGAAAAAATTATTCTTGCAAAACTTATTCAACGTAATGATATATTAAAAGTTTTACCAGGTGGAACAATTCCTACCGATGGTCGAGTTATTCAAGGTACATCAACATGTGATGAATCGTTAATAACTGGTGAAGCAATGCCAGTTGAAAAAACTATTGGTTCACAAGTTGTTGGTGGAACAAAAAATTTAAATGGAATGTTATTAATTCGTGCAACACATGTTGGTCATGAAACAGCACTTAAACAAATAATTAAATTAGTTGAAGGAGCACAAACATCAAAAGCACCTATACAAGCATTAGCTGATAAAATTGCAGGTTATTTTGTACCGGTTATTGTTGGTTTTTCTGGTATTACATTAATTTGTTGGATTATTATTGGTTATACTCATTTTGATCAAATAGAAAAATATTCAATGGTTTGAGTTTTGTTTTATTTATTTATTTTTACTTTTCAATATGATTTATTGAATTTTATTTTAGTATCATCATTCTATGATGGGACATCATGAAGGAACAAAGCCAAGTCATATGGAAATTGTACTTGAATTAGCTTTTCGTTTTGCTATTACAGTTCTTTCGATTGCTTGTCCTTGTGCTCTTGGACTTGCAACACCAACAGCTGTTATGGTTGCTACTGGTAAGTTCAATTTTGAGCTAAGAATACTTTTTTGACAAAATTAAGACAAATAATATTGTTTAAAGGGTACCTGTCCTGTTTTCATTGACCGTTTCTAGCTCTCAAAGGCGGTACAATCGATCTAGTTAACATTTTTACCTCTACTACTTGGAAATATTCTTCAGAGCTAAAATCGATCGTTTTTATTTTTGAATATCCCATCCTGATTTACAGGATTCTGAAAGTGAAGATCCTAGTTTTGGTGTCGTACCTTTACATATTTCTTTCAGAAAAAAAAACAAAGTGAGCTTTTTGGAGAAACTCAAACATGAACTATTTCTTTCAATAAGCAACTAATCATTTGTTGTTATTTTTTATCATAGGTGTTGGTGCCTCTCAAGGGATTCTTGTTAAAGGTGGTGAACCATTAGAAACTGCTCAAAAAATTCGTACAATTGTTTTTGATAAAACAGGTACAATAACACAAGGTAAACCAACAGTTGTTGATACACGTTTATTTATTCCAAATGATTCATATTGGACATTAAAACGAATGTTAGCAATAGCTGGCACAGCTGAAAGTGGTTCTGAACATCCATTAGGCAAGGCTATACGAACATATTGTAAAGATTTTTTTCGTTGTGAACAATTTGGTCATTGTGAAGATTTTAATGCTATTTGGGGTTATGGTTTAAGTGTAAAAGTAAATGGACTTGAATCTTTAATAAATAAAAATAGTGAATCCAATGATAATATATCCTTAAATGATAAAGTTTATTGTGTTTTAATTGGAAATCGAGAATGGATGGAAAGAAATAATATTCATGTAACATATGAAATTGATTCAGCAATGTCAAAACATGAACATGATGGAAATACAGCTGTATTAATTGCTGTTGATAGTAAAAAAAAATAAAGAATAATTGAAATTTAATTTTATTTGTGAAAATCTATATTTTAGATACAATTATTGGTATGATTGCGATAGCTGATCCTATAAAGCCTACAGCACCGTTGACAATCTTTGCTTTACAATCAATGGGTCTTCATGTTTTACTTGTTACTGGTGATAATATTAAAACTGCTCGTGCTGTAGCTGCACAAGTTGGTATAAAAGATGTTTATGCTGAAGTATTACCTACTCAAAAAGAACGTTTTATTGCAACATTAAAAGAAAATAGTCGTAAAGGTGATAAAGTAGCAATGGTTGGTGATGGTGTAAATGATTCACCAGCATTAGCTCGTGCTGATGTTGGAATTGCTGTTGGTACAGGAGCTGATGTAGCTGTGGAAGCAGCAAATATTGTTTTAATTCGTGATGCACTTGAAGATGTTCTTGGTGCTATATTTTTATCAAAAAAAACTGTTCGAAGAATAAGATTTAATTTTTTATTTGCTATTATTTATAATCTCATTGGTATACCAATTGCTGCTGGAGTTTTACTTCCAATTGGTATCTCATTAACACCATGGATGGCATCAGCTGCTATGGCTTTATCATCAGTTAGTGTTGTTATGTCATCATTGTTATTAAAAAAATATCGTAAACCAGATATAAATATGTATAATAATAATGAATTTAAGTTATGGTCAGTCAACAAAGGAAAAAACATAAATGTTCATCGTGGAATTGATAATCTTGAACGAACACCTAATGGTTCATTTATTTCAAGTTTACGTGGTAGTCGTTTAGCACAGATCTTGTCTGGTGCTGTATCAGCCGTAAAACAACAAACATCACAGTCATTCTATGGTAAACAAAAAGGAACATTATTACTTAATGCAAATTCACTTGATGACGAAATGGAATTGCATGCGATACCATGAAAATTGTTGCCAAAAAAAAAAAAAAAAGAATCCAAAGAGTTGTCGTTTTTTTCTGCTATGTACCCGTGATTAAATATTTCTCTGTTTTTGCTCTTGTAAATGCACCAATTATCTTATGTTTGTTGTGTATTAATTTATGTTGTGTATCAAAGAGATCTAAATTCTTATTTATTGAAATAGCAATTTGCTTATTTTTATGTGAATATATTATTGTTGTCAAAAAAAATAAAATCAATATAAAAAAAAACAAAAGCAATGATAGATACATGCTCGTAAAATCACTTAGACTAGCTTATTGCAGACTTCGTTTTACCAGACAAGCAGGTATCCGTTTCAGCCTGTTAGTCGTTCTCCTTAGCCTGTGTATTTTTGTTAAATGATGGTGCATAAAGAAAACCAAAGTGTGACCTTTATAAAAACGCAAGAAAGTCATAGGAATCAAAACAGAATGATTAAATGAAGCATTTATCAAGTGAATGCATCACATATCTATAGTAAATAGACAGTCACAATATATTTACATTTAGAGAAGTCCGTTTTTTTTATTGAGAATATTTTGTATAAATTCCATGAATTAGTCGTAGCAGATATTGCAATATTAGACATTTTACAAGGACATATGAAACTCTAGAAACCAACATTTAGCTCAAAATCTACCTCAGAGGACAAAAGTGCATGTTTCAACATAATAAACAGTGACTCGACGAGGTAGATGATCAAGGCAAATGAACCGTAAAAAATATGATCATTAGTCACGGTCATGATTATATTCAATACAAATGATATTTGAAGTAAATTTTCACAAAGATGAAATCATCACTAGCTGGCAGGGGGTGTAGGTGGATGTGGTGAAGGGAAAGATCAATGTCCGCACCCTTTACATTGCGGGGAAAGTTATGAATAAAATTGAGCATTTAATAGAACAATTTTACAAAAAAATGAATAAACATATAGTTTAAATTCAATGCTTCAAATATTTTTTTTCCTTTAAAACAATTCATTTCTCTTTTGTTTCTGTTCAAATGAGATTAGAATACTACAAAAATACTTTTAGAACCTGTATTTTAAATAATCTTAATGTGCTTTTGTTTTTCGAGTGGGCAACAGATTTGACGCTCTATCTTTTTGCTTGTTATGACTTAAGCAAAACATTATCGATTCCTAATTTGTTATTCTGATTTAATCAGGTCCATCATGTCTATGTAGTGAAAATGCTTTTGTTCATGGATCACAATGTTGAAGTTGATAGAGAAAGCTCTGTAAACATTTTAACACAGAATGAAACTGTCTACATCATTTAGATAGAATCAAGTTTTTGCAATATCTTGAAAACTAAATGGATGCAAAATTGAGTCTCATGCAGTAAAAACTCCTTAAGATAGTATAAAGTAGTAGGCTTCTTTAATATGGTGTTAGATAAGAAATGAGGTTTTTTACACAAATAATTTGAAACAATAAAGTCTGCTCAGAATATTTTCATTGATATAGAGAGGATAGTTAATCTAATAAATTTTAACTAAAAATTTCAAAAAAAAAACATCGGATGCTTTAGTAAGTGTTCACTAAATATTTGGGAAAATTTTCCCAACCTTCTTCAATATTATAGTTTTTAATTCATTATTGTCATCATTATACAATAACCTTACGTAATAAAAGAAAAAAAACTAGTAAATATATAAAAATTACAAAAAAGATACATTTAGGAGAGAAAAACAGCTCGTACTGGAAAGAAGTGGCAAAAATCGCGAAAAAAATGCAAAAAAAAATCAGTAAGTGACATCTAGTTTTGAGTTCGGGATGTCTATATAGTACGGATTGAAAAAAGGTCATATATACAATTTTGTAGAGCGAGATTTGCTGTATCAAATGAGATATTATTCGAAAAAATTCTCATAACTTACTATGAAGAAAATAATCAAATATTGAGTAAACTGAATAACCAAGTTTAGCACTAAAAAAGTTTTTTTCTTTCAGAATGCCTATTGAAGACCCATTCAGTGGATGCTTCATAACGTTCGAATCCGAAAGACAAACTGCAATGGGCTAGAAATTTGGATTTAGAAGTCTTTGGTGATGCTCTTTCGTTTACAATCAAAAAAATATGGTGGTCAAAATTTTCGAGAGTATGACTCTCTTGGCTGATGTTCGATATTCTCATGGACCATCCTTTAGGTGACTGATAATCAAATATAAGATGAACCGGGCCATGATATCATATATCAAATCCGGTTGAAAGATTGTATCAATTGTCAATATGTTTTAGCAAGAACAATACTTGAAAAATATTATTCTTATTCGATCAACAGTATGTTCAATGAAAACCAATTTCATGAAGGTCCTGGTTCAGATTCAAAATATATCTGAATAATGGATTTTTTATAAGTAAAGGCATAGGATAATAAATATTATATAGGTTTTTCATTGAATTTTAAGTTAAAAAGCTACTCTTATCTGATGCCATTCATTACTAAAGTGTGAAGAACCCATCACAATTGTTGTATTCTAATTTAATTGAATATCTTCGAGTATAACTTTGATACTTCTATTAGAAGTTTCATTGAATAAATAATAATAAAATCGAACAGAATTTTCACTAGATGAAAAAGTGAGAAATTCATCAAATTTCTATAAATAAGATTCAATCTCTCAAACTTCAATTTTTTCATATTTTTGGATTAGTTGTAGAAAGATTAAGACCATTATGGCACAAAGAACCACTACATATGAATTAAGTTCAAGAGAGAAAAAAATCATTGTGATTTAATTTATTTGATATTCCTACAAACATAAAATAAGTAAATAAACAAATAAATTTTAAGATTCATTACTAATGGCAATGATATCAAAAATGATTTACAAGTACATTGAATAAGTTAATAAGATCAAGATAAAACACTCTTTTATTTCGGTACAAAGATTAATTTTTTAGCGATATTTAATAGTAAAAATTGGGTCAATGAAGATAACATCAATATATTGATCGTTTAAAAGAACGTCCAGCATCTCATTTAATGGCATTTACTATTCTTTCATCTTTTTTTTAAATTTTATTTGTTTTTTTTGTTAATATGATCATTCATAGAAAAATACATTCTGATCTTTATGAAATATATTCAGAATAAATATCTTTAATCATCAATTAAGTCTTTCTTTTCTTAATCAGAAATAAAAGGCTTGATTGTGTTTGAACTCAAAATGAATCTAATTTACCAGATGAATCATCATTTGTTTTAGTCAATCTTTCAATGACTTAATCAATATTCAACACCCTCGATATTATTGAATTTTCTATAATAATTTGGTGTAGAAAAAGTTCTTACTTAATAATGTTTAACAAATGATTTCTAACCATCTTCGACAATTTAAAATGTTTAATATGATAAAAGTTTATTTTTGTTTCTATAGAAATAAAACCTAATATCTGTAACAAATAAGATCAAGATTATGTTGTATTAAAAAATCGTATAAAAACTTCTGCATCAAATGTATGAAGTTAATGTTTAGTTTATTAAGTTAAACTTTTTCTTTTGATGTGAGAAAAATAACTAATACTTGATTACAATAAAAAGAAATAATCAGGTCATATAGATAAAGTTCAATTTGTTATTCTTCAAATGGCCATTTTTTCATATTTTCTGAAAATTTTTCTTTATTAGTTTTTGTTTGTTCCTCTTCATCATCGTCTTTATCTTTTGTTAATGATTTAATGGCTTGAATCTCTTCATTTTCTTTTTGTGCACGCTTTTCAATATTTAGTCGAAATTTATAAACGTCATTTTCAAATGTATCTTTGTATTCCTGATTATCCGTTACTCTAAATACAATTTTTATTTTTTATTTTTAATTGAAAAGATTAATCGTTCTTACTGTTGAAAAAATTCTGTAATAGATTTAATTGAATCATATTTCAATTCCTCCATTAATATACGAATACAATTAATAATCATTAATTGAACGGTCAGACGATGCATTCCGATATAATCCTAAAAATGTTATTTTTTTCAATAAATTTAAAATAAAAAGTTTTTACATCATCAGTTTGTAATAAAATAGTCCAACCAGTTATATAATTGCATGTACCTTCATGAATTAAATTTACATGTTCTTTAAGAAATTTTTCTGAATCTGTAAAGCCTATTAATGTTGCATAAGTTTGTATGGGACTGTTGACATATTACGTCATCACTGTTTTGAATTTTTGGCCCCCCCCCCCCCCCCATGCCATCACTTCTCATGTTTTCATGATATCCTTTCCCTGGATGACGTCATCAGAACGAACTTTTTAGCGTCTCATAGATTATAAAATCATGTATAAAACGACTACTGAAAGAGGGAATACGACGAGTGTGAGAGACGATGAGAAACATTGCTCTCTTACCATCAGTTCCCTACGTTTCAGTCATTTTAATTTTTCATGATCTTCTTTTTAATAAGCCAATCTATTTTTGTATATAACAAAAAGATTTCAGATAAAAAAATCTTAGGCTTAGTATATATGTGTTCTAGCTGTTAATATAACTTTTCAAGGAAAACATTTCCTAGAATTACAATGAAGTGTCCTCTCNTTGTGAGGGTGGTTTGGATTAGTCGGGTGGAGGAGAGATCAGGGTGTCGGCGGTGGGGGGTGGGGGGGGGGGGGGAGAGCCTTAAACAAAAAAGAATTAATCACAATCAATTGCAACATCGAATAATGCAAACTGAAGAAGTGTTACTGTGGACAAAATCATTCTGAAATAATTTTCCATTCCTTACGTCTTTCATTTTATTCATCGTTCAAGATAAATCTTTGAATGACAGTGAAAGAACAAAAAAAAATTAAACTTATGAGTGGAGCCCCTTCCGATGCTAAAATGTGGAACTCACAAAGTCTGACTTTGATAAATTTGTGGTTTATTGTCAGAGATTTTAAAAGTAGCTTACTTAATCCGTTGGCTATCGCCGACGCATATATACAAACAACAGGTAGCTCAAACTTATCATATTACTGTTTCATAATGATGTGTTTTAGAGTCGGGCCTTAAAAAAGGAGTGTACATTGGGAACAGTCAGTTTGTTGTACATATGTTTATCTTTTGTTTTTTTTTATTCTTATTCAAGAACTCACTGCAAAGTGCGTCTCCAAGAGATCACATGTTGACAGACCAATGAGTCAGACATTTTCGTTTTCTAATTCCTTCAAATGAAAGCAACCAAATTCCCCAGAGAATATGTTATGTTTGCAGCATTGCTCACTACCAGTGCAAAGAATACGATGTTCCGTTGTGCATTACCAAATTTTCAAAGATTTCCATACCTTACAGATTATTTTACATTATCTTGTCGAAATCTGTATATTTGAATCAATTATGAATAGCTACAATGATTTTCTAAAGAGATTTTTGTCTCTCTGTCTCTCTGGTCGATGCCCAAAAGGGTTTAAAAAATGTCAAATAAATGAATGAATCAAATTCATGAAGATTTTTTATATTTTAGACATGCGCTTTGAAAGTTTATCCTTTCGAATTGTCTTTCTACCAATTTATTCGATTCATTTAGCATCGTTATATTCTAAGAACTTATTTGTATTGTCAGATACATCTTAAATATAAACTTCTTTTTTCCTATTGATAGTATACATATATGATGTATACCGCAGGAATCAGCAAATATAATTTTGACCTTCGTTTTGTTGATTCAACTACCGTATTAGCTTGCTATATGTATTGAATTTATTGCTCAGGAGCTACCTTGTTTACTATCCTTTCTCTTGATGAATTTTGACTTATACCGTTCAGTTTTACCTAACATTAGAGTTCACTCAGCTCATATTCTTCTATTTATGTTCTATTGTGATTCTGCTAGATCAAAAATACAATCACCCTATTGATTAACACCTATGATAAGATCTTTTTGCTGCATAAAAAAGACCGTAATATTTACACTGAACAGTTACAATCTACTGACTCTCAGAATGATCTAAGCACTGATACCTGTCTCAGTTTCTAAGGCCTGGAGGGAAGGGAGTTGTTGAAGTCTATAAAGAGAACCTAGGAGGGAGTGGACGAAAGGAACCGCGAAAGCTCGATTTAAATTTACACTCACTACTTTCTTCCAAAATATGTGAATTTTACAAAACTGAGAAAGTACGTGCATACTTACAGAAAAGTACGAGATCTGTCAAAGTTAACTTCTATAGTTGACAGTCAATTGAACTAATCAGTTCACTAGAAAATACGACATAAATTTCTCTTTTGAGTGAGCACATTGAACAGAATGTCTTTGAATGTCGATTTGATATAAAACCATTTTCAATTTTAATTTCATCTAATAGAGTTTTTCTTTATAATATTTTTCAACACGGCGATGAAAAACTTCTCAACCTGCTAGGTCGAAAACAACTATGTAGTTTTGAAAATAATTATTCACGCTCGTAATTACCTTTGTACTTTCAATATTTGTGCAATATTTTAATAAAATTTTGTTTTATGACTTTTCGATCTATGATAGCTCACAATCGAAAAACTGAATATAGTAACGAGGTCTTTTTTTGATAAATGGGACAAGTACTGAATAGAATCACTACGTCACTATTATCAATACATCGAGTCCATATGAAAAGAATTAGTTACTAGGCTTTGTTCCCAGAAAAAGAACATGTTGATAGAAGTGTGAGCTGTCATAGATCTAATGGGTTTTTAAATCCAATAAAGAGAAGATGCATTCGGAAACAAAGACAATGTATTTTGAAAAGTGTTTGAATCTTTGTAAATCTCTACTGAAACGTGCATTAAGAAGCTTCATAGTAGTTTCAGAGTTAATTTGAAAAACGGAAGCCTCTAAAGCCCTATTACAGTTCGATTAATGGTATTTTTGCGAAAGATAATCAAGTAGACAATACTTAACAAAATGCATTTTACCGCTTGAAAAGCCTTTCCTTTAGTGTTTAAATGCGTGTGAAAAAGAGTGGTCGCGTAAACAGAAGAAAATTTGATATTCTGAGTGTGACTTCCGTCAAAATTTTATCAAACAGTACTAATGGTCATGCAAGCGTTCAAAATATTACATTTTCTAACATTTTAACACTTTCTTCTTTTTGCGCGCTTTCCTGCCAGTGGAAAGAAAATATATCGTGTGTTTCTCCTTCAAACTTTTTACCAACGAGAGTAATTAAATAATCAACGTGTTAATACTCATAACTCAGAGTTTTTCAAAGTGTACTTTTTTTTGTTAAACGTGCTCCTTTAATTAACATAGAAAGTTTGCCGCGTTGTAGCTGAAATCAGGAGAATTGTGAGTGTTTTACAGATTAAACTTTTCATTTTCAATTATCTATGGATCTTTTTTTGTTTTACGCTTTCGAAATAAGAAGTAGTATATAAAAACGCATATATATATATATATAAACATCCAATTATCGTTGTTTTTATATTTCAACGCATAAGCGAAAAAATACTTTGTTAACAATATGAAATTGTAGGTTAGGCCATTTCGACGTGTATACTTGTTATTATTTCCTGTTTTAGAAAAATGCAAATACGTGAAATATTGCGGTTTTTGAGAGTTTGATACTGCATTTTTCAGTATGTATTGAAAGTTAATATTTTTTCTACTGTGATAAAAATCCATATTGATGTCTCATACAAAATGCGAAAAGACTGATGCTTATCTAGAATAAGAATAAAAAGTTGATTTAATACAAAAGAATTGTGTCAAAGAATGAATGAAAAAAGAGTATGTTCGCTAATTCAAAAGTTAATAAAAGACATGATTAAAGTGGAGAAATACCTCATTACCTTTTTCATCTTCGTCTATTTTGTTCTTGATAATAATCAAACATGCGTGATATGTGTAATATTATTACATCGATCTTTCTTCAATTTATCTTTCCATTCAAGTTCAAGCTCATAAAATATATTTTATCTATAGAAACCAACCGGAGTGCTTTATTCCATTTATTCTTATATTCATTTTTATGATAGTCGGTTGTAGAAGCAACTATCAAGAGAAGATATTTCAAAGACAACATTGGCGTGCCTGAATTCGAAATCTCTTTTCTTTTTATGTCAGATTTGTATCTTTCTCTCTTTCTCTTGCACTTGAGTTTAGCTCTTTCTGAACTACAAAGGAAAGTCTATAACAAATATGAAACTTGATACGCTTTTTTATGCCTTTTTAAAATGATTGGCATTAATTGCACTGAACTTTCATCGATTCCTAAAAGCTTTTCACTGCATTTTTCTATTTATATTATCTTTTTTATTTCATTTGCTATATTTCTGATTTCTGTACTTGTTTTTCATGTAGCATCTTCTGTGTTGAGTGTTTTCTGCTTTTAATCTTGCTAAGTCTCCTTTTAAAGGCATATTTTTTCTCTTGATAAATCGATAGATTAATAGACGAATATATCTTGATCTTGAAAGATTCACATAAATAAATTATTCAAAAAATGTGAAGAGAAAATGATAATAAACTGTGTCTAATCTTATATTTTCATCAACAACTTTAGTACTCCATTCTAAGAGTCAGTGAGACGGCCAGCAGCGTAACCAAGAGAGAGGCCAATGAGCAGCTGCCCATTTCATTTGGAGATTTGCCCATTGAAATTTTACTTTCTCAGAATTGTTTATTTATTTTCGAATTAGATAGTAACTGTATTTTATTTTCTTCCGTCTGAATCACATATGCACTCTTTACTTGTTCTTTCTGTGAAGAATTAAGGAAATAAGAAGAAAAGAATCACTTCTTGTAGTTTAGCTGTAAATTTAGGTGAACACGAGTTCGATTTTATTGGGAAAACAGTAGCCATGTAAAGGTAGATAGAGAAGGATAGATCAAAGAGAAGAGAAAAAAGAACACACTAACGTGTATATGTGTAGATATATATAAATAGAGTGACACCTACAAGAGAACGGGAAAACCTAATGACCTATATGTGATGTAACCTATTTCGTAGATATTTTGTTATTTGAATTTGAAATATAAATTTTATGAACAGATACATTAAAAATAGACTAAAACACATTTGACTCAGGCTTACGATCTGAGTTTGATGCATATGTAATTCAAAGAACCTAATTTATATTTTTGTTGTTTTTTGTACGTTATCAGTACTTTGTTGGCCAAAAAAGTTTTGGCTTAACAATAAAAATCTTACCGATCGTTTTTTTCCGTCACAAGAAATGTTTGCCTATTGGTTTAAAAATCCTGGTTACGCCGTAGGAGGCGGTATATGATAAATAATGCTTGTTAGCCAACCAATTATAAAATTCATTTGTTGGAAGCCTGTTCCACTTGTGATTTATCATTGAATCACTAGATTGTCGTGATGAATTAGAAAAGCATATCCATTTCATTTAGTCATTTTTTAGATATAGTCCATGAAAAGAAACATTATATCGTAATGCAGGAACAGCAACTCGAACTTCTTCTTACTTCTATTTTTATTATACTTCTAAGTTTAATTTTATTTGGCGGATACGTTTATGCATTTTCAATTTGTTTTATTCGTCGATTTCACAAAGTGAATTATCTGTTGACTTTGAATGTGTGTGTGGCAGCCATTATCAGTACCAAATTTTGGACCATCTATTTTTTTATGAGTCATTTTTATCCAAATATATTATGGACACCACAAAGTTGTTTGCCAATAATTTATGGACAAACCATGGTTAATTGTCAAGTCACCTATGCCTTGTGTGTCGTATCACTAAATCGACTTTTTACAATCATCTATGGGCAAACAACATTTTTTCGTACAAAACAAGGGATCGCTGTCTCTATCGGAATTCAATGGTTCATCGCAGCAATATTGCCATTACCCACGTTTGCATCAAACGTTCAGGTATGAGTTTTTTGTTCGAAAGATTATTTCAATCGAAAACTTATATGTGTATAGATAGCCAACAGAAGGCTAACATTTTTTTAAATAAAACACTAGCAATGTTTTGCTTTTCAGAGATGTTTTATTCATTTATAATTACAATAAAATTTTCTGATTTCATTTTTAGCATTGTCTCGTAACAGGTCTCATACTCAGTTATCAAATATACACATTGATAATTATTGTAGTATTACCATCAATTTTTATTCTGACTATCAACATAATTATTATCGTGCGTACGATTCAATCGTCACGCAGAATTCAACCAATAAATCCTGGTTTATTAAGATTGACTGGTCGCCGTCGTGACAAGTATCTGCTTAAACATATGTTTGTAATGTTTGTCATATTTGTAGGTGGTTGGACACCCATTTATATTATAGCAGTAATTAATTGGAATGGTTCTGTCATTCCACATACAATTCAAAGAGTAATCACTATTTTGCCTATTTTGAGTCAACTTGGTGATACAATTAATTTATTCATGTACAATCATGCACTAAGAAGATATCTGTTCAGTAAAATCCATAAAAACAACAACAGAATAGTTATTTTTAATCAATTCGAATGAAGTTCGATGAATCATTTTCATATCGTAGAACAGTTTGCTGTAAATAAAAAAAAACGAAACACTCTGCTTTGATATTCGTCTTGTGCTGATCATACAGGCTCCAAAGAATTTCTTAAAGAGATCTTCAATTGATAAACAACTAAATGACTTGATTTAGTGTATCATATAGTAAGATGAGTTCAGAAAAAACCTAATCGATTTCATTTTCAAATTTTCAATCGCTGCTGCTGTATAAAGTTCATGCGACTTGTGACTTGAGTGTCATCCATATTTGCTTGAGTACAATTTTGAGTTTAACTCAAGTACACTCATTATCATTGTGACAATTTTCTTATAATTGTAAATAATAGGCAAGATTTAATTCGATGGATAGTAATTTTTTCAAGTGTATTCTACTGTCATTCTGAAGCATTGCATGATAAGGATGATTCGATCACTCCAATACTGCATGACCTAGAAAATCCTAAATCCTTCTCGGCTTCGTGTTAACATTTCCAAAAAAACTAACGAAAGTTCAACTCAACCAAAATGCACATGCCTAATATTTTCCAAGGAAAATAGAAGCATGAAACTGTTACATAGTGAAAGTAAATCTAGCGAGAAAGCTCTCAAGGTCTAGACGCACAAATGGCGACCCAATAAATTGATGTAATACACTTCTGTTTGTGACACTGTGTGACATTCTGCGCGACAATATTGCTATCCACAATGTGCCTATCAATAGAAATCGATCCTCACTCACCATGCTACATATTCATAATGGAGTTCAAACGAGAGTCAAACACATGTCAAACACTATCATACGACAGGTCAAAATATCGACATAGCAATTTCATTAAGAAATGGCGAATGAACAGAATCTCAATGCTTGTGACAGAAAATACAAAAGTCAAATATTGTATGACTTCTTATTTTCAAGAAAGATTTATTCTTTCTTTGAAATAGTTGCTTTGCAATGGTTATGAATGAAATCACTCAGCTATCCTTCTTTTCACTCTTTTTTCTCTTTGCTAAAAGATATTTTCGTGACTTTGTTTTCTTATTCTATCGTTTCGTTAGTATATCTTCATAATATTGCATATAATTTGACATATTGTATTTATTTTAACTTATAATTTTGATTTCATTTTCCGTCAGACAGTAATCAATGTCAATATTTTCAATTATAGATATGACTTATATGTATACGGATGCCTGTAAGTTCTTCATTAGAAAGAGAAAGGTACTTAAAAACTTCACAAAAATCTAAATAATTCGAAAAATCGAAAGATCAGTTTTATGTAATTATTATGGTAGATCTCATCTTCTCAATGTACGAATCGTTTGTTTTTTAACAACCAAATTCTGTTTCTTTCGCTAATTTATATTCATTCTCTTATGCAAGTTCTACATAAGGAAAGCGGCAAGAATAATAAAGGTAGTAATTGATAGTTAGATAGATTCACCATAATTGATACTTGAAAGAATTACAACAATCTTTTTCTGTTAAAAGCTCATTCTAAGTCAACGATAATTGATAAAGAACATTGCTGACGTTAGAAGTAGAATAGAAAGTTAAAACCAATGGCAACATTTTCTTCCATTCATGCAGTTGTCAAACTCATAAACATGTGTCATCTTCCAAAAATAGAAAAGGTGTGAGTGAGGATTTAGTTATCGATACTTTCTAACTCTCACATTCAAATCCACACCATAAATAAATAAAAACGGAAATAATTAAATAATTTTTTGATTGTATTACTCGTGGCAATCAATTAATATTTTTTAAGATCGTCCCTCAAAAATTAATCCTGAATCAGGCTAATTCAAATCGCATGAAACTTTCAAAATATGTTTAAACTGTAGCGTAGAGGCTATGCAAAGATTTTCAGTGCTATATAATGACGTTTTTGTATGATATTCAATAAACAATGAACAAAAATACTGTAGCTCATTTGACAACACAACATTTTCTATGGGACTTCATTCTATATTCTAAAGTTTTTTTTTTGTTTGAAAGATTATATCAAAATGTAGAGCACGACGAAGCCCTCTTGTTTTAATTCTTTCCTTTTAATTAAAGAAAAAGGATGAAAATTTCAGTGTCTCAAGAAACTGTCAAAAATAGCGCTCTAATTATAAAAGTATTCTCTTATTTAATAATCACAAAGTCTAATTTAAGAAAGGACATTGTCATACCTTGCATTTTGACATACTCCTTCAAATAAAAAAAAAGATATATCAAATAAAGACTTACAGATAATTCTTAGTTGCACAATCAGAAAACATAAACAGAACAAAATCATATTTCTCAAGCAATTGATGACGGAAATTATCAAACATTTTTTGCAAAAAACTCTTTGTCCGATAAAAATAGAAGTCAAGTAGTTTATGAAAAATAAAACATCGGACTATCTTTCAATGCATTGATCTCACTTTTGAGTTTTGTGATGAAAGTTAACTTTTTTTTTCTAGAGAGATCTTAATATTTTCTGATTAAGTAAATTTAAATGTATTTTTATCAATTTTATCATGATGAATATTGTTAATCTATTATTCACCTGTCTGTTTAACAATATTTCTCAGCAATTTTTGTTTTTGAACATTTTGATGACGATGCATCATTTCTTACAAGTTTTTGCATTTTATTTCTCTAATGTTTCCACAAGTTGATTAACATGTTTTTCTTGTTCTTCAAATTAACATGCAAGCTACAGTCTGGTGCATAATTATAAGACCACTAGTTTTAGTACTTAATAAAGTCAGATCGAGCTAATTCTTTGAAATTAAGGGTATTGAAGCATATGTATACAGTAGGGAAATATTCAAGATTTTATCAATTATTCTTCATTGATTTCTGAAATTTCGTGGTTTATTATGGTGCATAATTATAAGACCACTGTAAATGAAATAGAAAAAAACGAATTGAAAATACCGATTAATATCGTGTCTTCGCTCCATTTAGCTTAATAACTTCGAATATTCTGTCGGGCATTGAACTGACTAAATCGCGAAGTTGATTAATGTTTATTTCTTCCCATGACTTGAGTATGACAGCTTTCAACTGTTCTTTCGTTCTAAATTGCTTCCCTTCTGAATAAACCTTCCTTGATAGCATGCCCCATAGGTTTTCTATTGGATTCAAGTCTGGAAATAATTATGGCCACCGCAAAACGTTAATTTTTTGCGACTTGAACCAAGCCAGATTGACCTTCGCTCGATGGACAGGAGCATTATCCTGCTGGAAGACCCATTCAGATCCGCCCAAAATATCAGCGATGTTGAGTAGGTGTTTTTTGAGCACCTCACGATATCAATTCGAATTCATCCGTCCATCTATAAAACAGATTGAGCTCTTACCATCCCAGCCAAACGACGCCCAAATCATGACACTACCGCCACCTTGAACGTGAGTCGAGAAAATCTCTTCTTCTTTACGAAGATCATGCCAATAGTACGAAAAACCATCAGTACCGTCTAAATTAAACTTCTTTTCATCCGACCAGATGACTTTGTTCCACTCGTTATTCCATGTCATATGATATTTGGCCCAAGTCAATCGTAAATCTTTGTGAGCTGTTGTTAATGCAGGAGAATGTTTCTTTTTCATTTTTTTAAGTATATTTGACCTTTTTATAACATGATTGATCGTCCATCTCGACATTTTCAAACTTAAATCATCAATAATCTTGGCGCAAGATATTGACTTGTTGCTGGCAGTTCTCAAAACAAGCCGTTTTGCACGTTCATCGACCTTTTTTCTGCGACCAGTTCGTTTTCTTGAGCCATATTGAAGTGGATCTTTCAAANATATAGAGAACAATTTTCTCTATCGAACGAGCTATTTTTCCAAGAATTTTGATGACAAATTTATGTTCTAGAAAGAAAATAATGAAAGTGTCCAAATAATTTTTTTGCGCAGAAAATCAAAGATTCTACTAAAAATCCCAAAAAATCCATCAAAGATCTTTTCTTAATAAATATTTTTACTCGTGCAATAAAGTACAGATTCGGGGCTATCGAATGATGTATTGAATGTTGATAAAATCTTTTTCTATGATTATGAAATCTGCTTCACAGTATCGGTATAGTAAGTGTCCAAATAATTTTTTGACATAGTGTATGTAAATAGCCGCATGATTTAGAAAACTATCTTATATAGTGGTCCCTATCGTTAAGTGGTAGAAATAAAATCTTTATTTCTCAGCAATACAGAGATCATCAGTTTGAAAATATAAACATATACACAACTTTAGTAGTGCTATGTATTACCGAAATCAGAATCGATGAAAACCGTTTTTGCTGACATCTTAAGGCACTCCTTATAGACTTCTTCTATTTCGATTGGTTTAACTATCGTCTTCAGTAGATTAGTTACATGTTGAGACGCTTTTAAATATTCAATATGTTCTTTATTTCCGGAATCGTGAATTGGTTCAGATAAATGTTTCTCGAAATAATTTTCTAATCGATCAACTAGTTTCTGATTGTCTCTCACAATTTCGTAGTTGCTACTTTTCAATTCTCTAAACAATGGAAGGTATGGACAAAATATAGTTTTTATTACGTTCTCTATATATTTTGATGATCTGTTAAATTACAGACTGGGGCATAATTATAAGACCACTAGTTTTAGTACTTAGAAAAGTCAGATCGAGCTAATTCTTTGAAATTAAGGGTATTGAGGCATATGTACACAGTAGGGAAATATTCAAGATTTTATCAATTATTCTTTATTGACTTTTGAGATTTCGTGGTTTATTATGGTGCATAATTATAAGACCACTGTAAATGAAATAGAAAAAAATGAATTCAAAATACCGATTAATATCGTGTCTTCGCTCCATTTAGCTTAATAACTTCGAAAATTCTGTCGGGCATTGAACTGACTAAATCGCGAAGTTGATTAATGCTTATTTCTTCCCATGACTTGAGTACGGCAGCTTTCAACTGTTCTTTCGTTCTAAATTGCTTCCCTTCTGAATAAACCTTCCTTGATAGCATGCCCCATAGGTTTTCTATTGGATTCAAGTCTGGAGTAATAATGGCCACGGCAAGACGTTAATTTTTTGCGGCTTGAACCAAGCCAGATTGACCTTCGCTCGATGGACAGGAGCATTATCCTGCTGGAAGATCCATTCAGATCCGCCCAAACTATCAGCGATGTTGAGTAGGTGTTTTTTGAGCACCTCACGATATCCATTCGAATTCATCCGTCCATCTATAAAACAGATTGAGCTCTTACCACCCCAGCCAAGCGACGCCCAAATCATGACACTACCACCACCTTGAACGCGAGTCGAAAAAATCTCTTCTTCTTTACGAAGATCATACCAATAGTATGAAAAACCATCAGGACCGTCTAAATTAAACTTCTTTTCATCCGACCAGATGACTTTGTTCCACTCGTTATTCCATGTCATATGATATTTGGCCCAAGTCAATTGTAAATCTTTGTGAGTTGTTGTTAATGCAGGAGAATGTTTCTTTTTCATTTTTTTAAGTATATTTGACCTTTTTATAACACGATTGATCGTCCATCTCAACATTTTCAAACTTAAATCATCAATAATGTTGGCGAAAGACATTGACTTGTTGCTGGCAGTTCTCAAAACAAGCCGTTTTGCACGTTCATCGACCTTTTTTCTGCGACCAGTTCGTTTTCTTGAGCCATATTGAAGTGGATCTTTCAAAAAATTTGTTACCACAGTTTTTGATCGATTGATTTTCCTTGCAATTTCTCGATGAGACTTGTTTTTCTTGTGTAGGTCTAAGATAGACCTTTTCTGGATTTCTGTTAGCTGTATTGCTCTCGGCATAATTAAACTTGAATGTGAAGTGCTATATCTGATTTGTTAATTTTACTTAAAGTTACTCACGATGCGTTTATTACTGTAAATCTATCACGTGGTCCTATAATTATGCACCACAAAAATGGAGGAAATTCTACATATATATGAAAACGAAAGGATTAGTGCTTGAAAATTTTATAGCGACATTCTTATGACTCACCTATGTCAAATCACTCGAAATAATATTTATTTCATTAAGCTTAATTTTACAACAAGTGGTCTTATAATTATGCACCAGACTGTATATAAAAGAAAATAAATTGATTGTGAAATACAGTTTAGTTATTAAGTAAAGATTCATATTTCTAATCAAATAATTGAATTATTATTGATAAATTATCTATATTAAAATCAAGTCAACTAATTTAATCATTAAATCTAGTTCAATTTACCTAAATTATTGTAAGCCATTCAGTATAATCAAGAACAGAATATTTTATAACAATACTCTTTGAATATACAAGCATTCATTTTCTCCAATGTGTTTATATAATTTCATATTCTCAATTCTTTTAACTAAACTATCATCTAAACAAAAAAAATCAATATACTATAAAAAATTTCTTTAATTATTATTTTTTAGTTGCATTAATTTCCATTTGTATTACAATAAGAATTTAACATAAAAATCTTTCACATGTGAGATAATTGATATGATTCTCTCATATCTCTCATATACTTTTATTCTATATAATCTGGTTCTTTTTTTTTTTGTCAATAAATAATTCTTTCATTAGTAATCAAAATTTCACATAATATTAAACATAGAAATTTAATATTCATTTACATCAATATTATTTTTAAATTCTATTCGACTTTATTCTGTATCCTTCCCTTGACAAAAATTCCATACTATTCATAGATAAAATAATTTTATAAATAGAGTATTAACCTGCCTTATATGTCAATTATGTGGTCTGATCCATCAAGTGTCTATCTCTTTGTCTAGGGTTATTTGTCGGATCTAGTGATCGTATGATGGAGAAAGAGAATATTGGAGCGATGAAATAAATGAAGGAGTAGCACTAATTAAAAGTTGTTGTCAAAAGGACACAAATGTTTTTGACACATTTTATTATATAAGCATGTACTTTTTTAACCCAGTTTATAATCTCTAAAGGTATTTAATTCATAATAAGTGCTATTTCAACCTTTTATGAGTTAATGGCTATACAATACATATATTAACTTTGTTTTCAATTGCCTTTCAGAAGCCCAATATTGGTTTCATGGTCTATCATATACCTTTAATATGTGTAATTTGCAGAGTTATCGTGAAGCTTTCGAAATATATCTAACCTACTAGTAGACTTCTGCATGGATTTATATCGAACAGAAATTCCGAAAGATTTCTATTCACTGTAAACAGAAAACAATTAGTTTCGTAAAAATTGGAAGTGTTTCATTTTTTCAAAATTATCGATTTTTTAGGTTCAATATTTTGGAGATGAAACCATGAAAAATAATATTTTTTTTTACCAATTGATAGACCGTAAATCTCACTACAAAAAATGTTAGTATCGTTTTCAAACCCAATGCTTCCTTTATTTTCTACAATCGCTCTATAAATAGCCACTCATGTGGCTAACAAAAGGTGAAGATTTGATTGATGTTCATATTCACGTTTTGCTATATAAGTTGATGTTTTTGTTTGTATACGATCTAATACAAACTTTAAAAAAAGAACTCAATCGTTTATAATTTATTACTAAATTTAAATCAATAGCTGATAAAAATTGTTCAACTTTATTATATCTTTTAAGTAATTGTTCATGATTAAAACCAAACAATTTGCTTTAACATGCAAAGGACTATGATAAAGTAATCGAGGAAAGAACTGACGAAAATAAACCATAATTGATGCCTGATGTCCAACACAGATTTCATGTTTTTCATAAGAAACACCATGGAATATGTCAAATACATATTTAGTTGAATCGATCCACTAATCAGTTTTTCGATCTATTTTTTTATGTACTGAACTAGAATCTTCGAAAGTATTTTGTGATATTGCTGTCTGAACGAACTTAGGACAAACAATGGTAATATCGATATGATCATAAATGTAGCCTAATCGAAGAAAATGGAAATAACTACTATGTAAAGCCTGTTTAGAAGCTGCATATGATGAGCATAATGTTGAGCTAGCAGAGCCTGCTGCTGATGTTACTATTACAATATGTTCTTTTTGACGTTCAATGAAATGCTTCAAAGTTTATATTCAGCATAAACAAATGAAAATATCTAGGTATATGCAGTGTTACATTAAACACTGAAATATGGATAGAGAGTCACTGACACAGGCCCCACTAGATCATTGATTACACTGACATCCGCGTTAACTACAGGATTCAAACGTCAGAATGTGAATATGTGCATCGTCGCAGACACTCCAACCCATCTCAATTATGCCCACAAATTTTTTATTAGATTTAGCTTAAAATCATCAATCTATTGCCTGTATCATATTTGTAACAATGAATAAAATCACAGCTAGTTGGTTAAGTAGTATAGATCGTGGCTACTATGAGCCAACTGATAAGTGAATGTATGCCATCGCGAATATATAGTTGAAACTCGAACGATGCTTGTTTACAACACTGTACGACTTTCGATGATAGCCAATGTTTAAAATCATTTAGTCAAACAAGTTCTGTAGACATAATCCATGCCGATAACAAACCGTTAGAACTGCGTTTAAACGTGTTTATCAAAGAAATTTTTACTTTAAGCGTCTGTTCACTGTTTATCTTATAACGTTCTAATTGAAATCGTTCAAAACGTCGTGATTTTGTATTTTTTCGGGAAAACAAACTATACTTTCAAACAATATTTTTCTGTTTTACTTCTCTTATTAGAAGACAAGTTGTAACTTGAAAAATTATATTATTATTATTATTTTCTCAGTAAGTGGTGCTTGTATTACATACTAGCTATTTTCCGCTTGTTGGTAATAGGTGACTAAATAATAATGAGAATGCGTATATGTTACTCGTGAAAAGTAAAATGTTAGCTACACCATTTATTCTTAATGTGTAGGAGTTTGAAACGAAGAAAGCATTTTTTAATACTAATAATCGAAGCGAAAGTTATGAGAAGTGTAACAATCTAAGTGCTAACACTTCTTGTAATGTGTTTTAATCATGGTTTTAAACGTATTCCTACTGTATTCTTTCAACAATGTTTCAGTGGTATGGAAGATCGTTAAAAGAAATATCGTTCTTTGCTAACATTTGATAAAGACGATAATCAAACTTTTTTTCCATTTGTTTCAGACATACTGTCGCAAACTGATATGATGAACAATGATAATCTCACAATTCATTTCATGTTAAATATCTTTTCATAATCAGACCTTCGGTAACAGACATTTGATGTTTCTTTTTAAAGAACATTATAATATCATCTGATCCAACATTAGTTTATTTTACCCCATATTTAAGTTAGTCGACTCTTGTTTGATTATATGCTGTTCACTAGATTGAGGAGCAAACGAATAATAGTGACGTTCAAATGTTTATATGATTAGCGGAAATCACCACTAATATGATTATAAGTTACTACCAACGATGAAATACTTGTGAATCGTATTTTTGATGAATACTTCCTTGTATAGTCAGCCGCAAAAAACAAAAGGTTTTTAGAAGACTTTTTTCGTCTATAGAACTTTGCAGAGCTCGTTGCATTAATCATTTTGATAAAAAAAAAGATTCAAATTTACTCAATAAATCATGAAGCTTTTGTCAAAATACTCGAACACGTCTACATACCGCTCAGAAGCAGTCAGGAACTGCTCAAGTTTTTGAGTAAATTTGAATATTTTCTTTCGTCAAAATGAATGATCCAATAGGCAGCTCTGCAAAGTTCTATAGACAAAAGAATTTTCTAAGAATTTTATGATTTTTGCGATTGGTTACCCACGAAAGCATCCATTGAAAATACAATTCGCAAGAATTTTGTCGTTGGTACTTAAGATTGCGTATTAACTATGTAGATTATTCCTCGTCCTTGGAATAAAACAATATCAAAAATCTATTCATTTTGTCTTTTTTTTTAAATTGAAAATATTTATGAGTAACTGGCATAATCAACGTCAAAAGAATTAAGTTAATCTATTTTTCTATTGTTTATAATTATTAAAAAAATAATAAGTTCGAGTTTAGTTGTTCCATTAAGTAAAACAGTTTTTCTTTCATTCTGCCTTTTATTTCCATTCAGTACACGAAGAAGGGAAAAAAAAGAGAATATTTTTTTTTTCTCTCTTAATTGTTTGCTTGTTCGTTCCTTTTTATGCCTTCATTTGTTTTCTATCTGATTTACAAATGAGTTGCGTCGATTAGTTGTCGGCTTAACTTTTAGTTTATACTACCGTTCAATATATGATTCATTATAAGTAATGCATATCCTTATTGCGTGCGTCAGATTAAACAAACCCAAATTCGACAAATATTTTTTTCTGAAGAAAAAAACTTTCAAAATGAGACAAAGACTACGACATTTAGTGTATTATTAGTAATGATGGTGAGCTTTTTGAAGGTTTCTTATATTGGTCTAGTTACGATGATCATTAGATGTAAGATAGACAAAAAATATAAATGTTAGAATCATTCGTCAAGTATTAGAATAGCAATAGTCCAATAATT